AAATTTTTATTGTTCATATTTATTGAATTTTGACTTTTTCAATCGATAGAGTGGGTCTAAATTTGTTGAAAAAAACTCTAACATCATTACATAATCTTGATTTCAACACAGAGAAAAATTTAAAAAAAAAAGCTCAATTTTTAGGTTTAAATTTTTTTTGAATTCTGATAAGGTTAGGAGCAATTGCCAATACTTCTATTAAATTTTAAACAAATCAAAATAAATTATATATAGTTGAAAAGAGCATTAAATTCTCTATTAATCAGTGCTAGATTGAGTTTCATAACTCAAATACTTTTAGAGCAATTGAATCTCAAAGTTGGATTTTAATTGAAATTTAGTCAAAAACTTCAAACTGGATTTTCTCAAGAACCGTAAATGCCAACGATTTCAACTGAGTACTATTTTGAAGCTCTTATTAGGAGCTACCGATTATCGAATTTCGAATCCGACATTTTGTCTATGGGCCATAATGTCATCTAATAGTCAAACTGTCAAACTCAAATATTATAATTTTTTTCGGCAGTTAACAAAAATTCAACTAATTGGAGTTTCCTCCCCTACTCAATTCAGAAAATAAAAAAAAATCCGAAAAATTGAGACTGAAAAACCAGGTACATACGATAAAGGTGACCACACATAAAAACCCTCGCCCCTACGGATTCGTAATTTGAAAAGACCCCGGCCCTCTGGGCTCGTAACTTAAATAGACCCCGGCCCTTCGGGCTCGTAAATTAAAAAGACTCCGACCTTATGGACCTGCGATTTTGGAAGAAAATTAAAAACGTAGCAACCCTAATCTAAAAATGTAGTAACCCTAACGCAATTTAACGTTTCGAAGTAGGCCCTGTAGTTTTTGACAGTTAATGGCTGTGTTGTTTCCAAGACCTACTTGATTTGATAAATTTTTTGCTTACAGTTATCTGTATTACCGACATTGATTGCTTAGCAACAGTGATCATCGCCTGTAGTATACGTGATAAATAGGTTGCGAGTGACGTCATGAAAATAGAATTCTACTTGTCATGCAGGATTGCTTCAAGGTTCACTTAGTTTTAGTATAGTAATCTTATCGCTTGTCATAAATGATATTTGACATTTTGCCCAACAGTGTTGCCGATGTTTATATAATTACTATTATGGAAAATTTGAAATTTGCAAGGCCTTTTTTTGTATAAATTCGAGCCTCAATAATTGGCACAATATTTGTTATAAGTTGTAGTTGGCAACACTGTTTGACAAGGGACAAAGTAGGCTTTGCAAAATTTTAAAATTTAAATATGGCACCCTGTAATACCGACATTGCGATATATACATGTTTTCAAAGCATACTTGGTTTGATATAAGCTCGTAAGGCGAGAATTTTCCTGAAAAATCAACTTTCAAGATTTCTGGTGATTTTTTGTTTAAATCTGGTGATTTTTCATTCCAAAAACTCGCCGTGAGTCACGCTCTCTCACTTGGTTTGTGTCAATCGTTCGTCGGCTGTCATTATCATTCGCTGTCTTTCTCCACCTCTCTACGTTATATCTTTCTTCTCTCTCGTCTCTCGTGTGCCGAAATTTGCCAAAACGTGTTATTCCATTCTCGTCCAAATCAGACCGCCGCGTAAGAAGTTTCACTTCAGAAAAATCATGTGTACAGCATCGTACACGTGTTAAGAAGTGAAACTTTTTAAAAACTATTTCTTTAACTCAAGAGCACCAGGATTCAGAGTTATGCTGAAATCTGAATAGCGAGCGAAGAATGCGCAGAACGCAGAAGGCAACATAATAGGCCTGTTTGTTATCCTCCACTAGTGCACAATAATTTACACTTTTCTGCACTGAGGCGTTTGTTATGGGGTTAGTGCAAATAGTGTAAGGCGTTTTGTTATCTCAGTGTAGGGTGCTCAATCTTGCACTACTTACACCTGCTCAAGAGAAGGTGTAACAAGTGCAGAATGTGGAGGGGGCAATGTTGTTGTTTTGTTTGTTGCTCCTAACCTTAACCCTCAAAATAAGCTAAATAATGCAGATTTAATAATAGAAAAGAAATTGAATCTTATATTGATATGATCTAAAAAACTGAGTCGTGAAAGCACAGATACAAAAGTGCAATTACTCGATCTAGAATCAGATGTAACAAGCTGTCGTCAGAGCTGGAAGATAGGGAATCTGGGGAATCTTCTTCATCTTCCTCTATAATTTCGGACACTTAAACGTTGTAAATTTTATTTTTTTTATTGATGTTAGGTATTTTTTTCTCGGAGTTTCCACTTTGATTTACCATATTATGCCTAAATAATAATTTTTTTGAGGTTAGATATCCGCTTCTATCGCTGCACGAACTGCACTGTCTGCACTAACGCGTTTGGGAGTTTTCCTTCACCCTGGTTGCCATAAGCTACACCAGCAGCCTGCACTAACCTACCCTACACGGAAATAACAAACACAACCAATATAAGAAGTTTGGATTACCTAATATACTATATAGCGCTAGTGGTGCTAATGCTACTACTGCCACAAGTGTCACGTGCCACTGCCACAGGCTAGTGGCGTTAGTGCAGTGCAAAGTGCAACGCAAAAAATTCTCTGCGAACATTCGGATTTCGTCATTCTGTTGTCCGGTGATTTTGCAATTCATTACGACACGTGACACGATCCTTATGTTAATTTTAATTAGTCCTCGCGAATAAGGTGCGCAAAGCGCAAATTTTTGTCTACCAATTTTTCCCAACTCTAAATTTTTTATCCTAGTTTTCCCAACTTTCGATATATTTTAGGAACTTTGGGGGGGGTCGCCACCCCCCCCCCCCCCAGCCCCCCCCATGGCTCCGTCACTGCGCACGGGCATAAAGTAATGAATTATGTAGATGGTATCTAAGGTATAAAAACACAATAATGTATTGGTATGACATAAATATTATTATTGCTGATTCAATATGTTAAGGAATAGACCAAATATGTGAGTACCTTGTTTTTTTTTTCAGGTTTAAAATTTAAAGATGTTTGAAAGTCATTATGTTATTTTTACATTTTTAAAAATAAAAAATAAATGTTTTTTAGTACCTACTCATGTTTTTATTTCTCTAGATTTCCCTCATCTTACCTACAATCAACGTTCGTTTTACCTAAGTTTACATCGTCATCTAACATTAAAATAACGTTCGTAAATGTCAATTAACGTTTTAAAACAACGTTTAATTAACGTTTATTATTAACGTTACTTCAACGATGACATTGTTACGTTAAGAGGACGTTTTGATAACGTGATTTATAACGTAACTTGACGTAAAAAATAACGTTAAATAAACGTCATTTTGCTACCTGGGTTTTTGCCATAAGTGGGTGACGTATGTAAGTAAATCGCCAGTTGACCTATATTTTCGAAATCCGTATTGCTTATCGTTGATAATTTTGTACTTTTCCAAGTACTTGGTTAGGTGATTGTTCACAACTCTTTCCATTACTTTTGATATCACCGGAAGTAGAGCAATTGGTCTATAGTTTAACGGATCTGTCTTTTTTCCTTTCTTTGGAATGGGTTGTACTCCGGCAGACTTCCATGATGATGGATATACTCCTTGCCTGTAAGACAAATTGAATAATTTTGCGAAAGTTGGGGTGAGTTCATTGGCGCAATTTTTGAGTACTATTGCGGGAATGCCATCCGGGCCCATTGCTTTGTTTGTATCCAGCTTTTTAAGGGATTTTCGTATTTCTCTGTAACAAAAGGGCACCTCTGGCATACTATGGGAAACCCTTTCAATGAACGGTGGAGTTTTTCCGTTTGGCACTGTTAGGTTGGAGTTGGAGGAAAACATTTGGGCAAGCATATTGGCTTTTTCCTCTGATGTTGTGGCTAAGTGATTATTTTTATCTGTAAGTGGTGGTATGGATGACTTGGTGAAGTTAGATCCAACAGCTTTTGCAAGAGACCAAAAAGACCTAGAACTACTTGGACAATTCAGCAACCTGTTTTTTATTCTTTGATTGTATGTTTCTTTAGCGGAGTCAATAGTAATTTTGCAACTATTTCTGGCTTCTATAAATTCTGTGTGGTTTTGAGCGGTTTGTTGTCGTTTCCAAAGGTTATATGCTCTGTGTTTTTTCTGTACAGCCGTTTGACACTGGCCGTTAGGGTTGCCAGATATTTGAGTTCTGAAAATAGAAGACCCTGTATAAAATCATATGAGATTGGATAATAATATATGAGAATATCTTATGTGCTGCAAAAAGACCAAATCCGAAAAAGCTTTCATCTTGACAATTAGCTATGATTTTCAGCAAATTTTGGAAACTATTGCTGGGCATCTAGGTAGTTATATACGCCTCCTGATCCGTCAACGTCAGTCTCATTTCATTTCTTGTAACAAATCGTGAACAATACCCGGGGTTTTTTGATGCTTATACAAATCCCTGACCCAAAATCGTTTTGTTATTATTTTAACTTTATGCGATGTCAGAAAAAAGTTGAAAATATTTGGATAAAAAGTGGCGGGAAATTTTTCAGCCAATAGGAGCTCCGTCGTACCATCGGACTATCGGACAATCGAATAACGGACGCTTGACATCACTTCGGCCTATCATGTGTACGGTAGTGATAATAGTGTGATATCCTACATGGGTTTCTTTTTTTTTGAGGAAAATATATGAGAAATGATCTCATATTAAACATGCTAATATGAGATATGAGAAACAGTAAAAATATATGAGTCTCATATTAAAAATAGGAGATCTGGCAACCCTACTGGCCGTTGAACCAGGGTTTTGCATTAGCTCTACGTTTAGTTGTATGTGGTATATATGCATCCATTCCAGATAAAATTACTTGTATTATTTTCGTCAAAGATACTTGCATTCGTTAGAAAAGTTAGCATTGAAACCGACCCCAGAAAAGTCAAGCCACCCGCTGAACGTAGATCCTCAATTACACTAGACCTCAAATGGGATGATAGCAAGAAGGAATCCATAGAATCAGAAAGCCCACGGGTGCAAACAGACACACAGACTCTGGAGATGAAAAAAAAGAGGAAATTGATTGATACATCTATAACTGGGGACAACGAAATCTATAAGAAGAAAGAAAGTACAGACTATTTCACCCTCAAGGAGACCATTGATATGATCACAAAGATCGGCGTAGACCTGCAGAAATACATGGAGCAGAACATCAAGAAAGAAGTCAAAGAACTAGTTAAGAGACTTGCGAAACAAATTAAAAACATGAACGGCAATAGGATATCAGACTGGCTCGAGGAAAATAGATAAGATGACCATAGAGACAGATGCTCAAACAAGCCCGGAAAAACCCGATATAGCTGCGTCTCAATCCGAACAACCTACAGTAAGTGAGGATCCAACAACCGGAAAGCAACCCCTGTGCCCAAGGTGCGGATCCTACTATGCATGGAACAAAACGAGAGAGGATACTTGCACTTCGCTAGAGGGAATAAACTCCTACGAGGACTGGAAGAAAGTAAGCGAGAAGAAGTGGGACGAGAAGCTTTATGCGAACACGGAGCTGCAACTGGGCAATCTCCTTAATTCAAAAGACTCCACGGTCAAAGTAGTCCTTGTGGAACCGTCAGATGCTAAAATGGAAAACAGCATTCAACAAATGTTTAAGAACAGGTTTCCGGAGCTCACCGAGACAGATAGAGACTTTGCTGTTCTAGAGCAAAGCTCAAAATGGAAATTGAGCGACGAAATTTCGACCCGACAAAAAATCGTAAAGATTATGCAAGGAGACCAGGAACGAGACCTATGGGACAGACTAATCGAGCTTAGAGAGGAGACAAAGAACGACGAATGGATCGCAATGCACCATATTGAAAGATGCAGTAACGATAGGCTAAGGAAAATCGTGGAGACTATTTTCCATGGCGGAAAACCGAAGGTAGCCATATACACCAACAGAAAACAGACCAGTCAAAAAAGAGATCGTCAATCGCCACCCGCTCTAATTATCGCTCAGAAAGGTAAGAAGTACGAGGATATTGTTAAGACAATCAAAGAAAGCCTAAAAGGTAACGATGCTATCCAAACCATAAAATCGATCAGAATGACCAGAAACGAAAACGTGCTTATAACAACAGAAAACGATTCTACATCTCTACAAGCACTAAAAAAGGCAATAGAGGAATCGTCGGATGACATAAAAGTCCGTACAGGCAACAGAAACGTTGAAACCATCCATATAAGGGGACTGGATGTCACTGCCACCAAGGAAGATGTCAGAGAAGAAATAGGTAGACTCGTTGGCAACATTAGCGAAGACGAACTCAAACTGGGTAACCTGAGACCAAACGCCAATAACACCCAGGCAATAACTGTGTCACTGGATGCGCAAAAGGCAGAGGAGCTACTGAAACACAGCTACATCCGTATAGGCCTTTCAAGAGGTAGGATGGATAAAAGGATAAACATACCACAGTGCGGAAAATGTTGGGCATACGACCATACTAGCGACAAATGCAACGGCCCCGATCGAAATAAGCTATGCTTCAAATGCGGCAACGAAGGACACCTGTCCAAAGATTGTCAAGAGACAGAAGCATCGTGCCTCATCTGCAAGGAAAAGGGACATAGGACCGGAACAGCGAGCTGCCAAGCCTTCCGCCGAGCTCTATCTACTGCAAGAAGGCAAAGGAGTACAAATGGTACAACCCTCCAACAGAGCTAATGTCTACCAGATTCTTGCAAATTAATGTAAATCGATGTTACGAAGCCCACGACCTCCTGGAAGCCACAGCTATACAAATGAACATAGACATACTAATCCTATCGGAACCCAACCAAAGAGTAGCTCAACACCCACAATGGGTTACAGATACTAATAAGGACGTAGCGCTTAGGTTAAAAAGCCGTAATACCCCATGTCTCAGCACGGCAGCAAGAGATGGTTTTGCATGGATTGAACTCAGGGACTTTTTCCTTATTGGCTGCTACTTCCCACCTAGCATGGGGTTAGCGGAATTCAAAGCCTCTGTGGATAATATTGAGGAAGTGATAAACAGGACAACGAAAGACATTATAATTGCCGGTGACTTTAATGCTTGGGCTACGGAATGGGGAACGCATGCTACAAACCACAGAGGGTGTTATATTCTAGAATGGATGGCAACAAATAATCTCACTCTTCAGAATGAAGGAATCGAACCAACCTTCTTGAGAGAAGGGGCTGCCTCAACAGTAGACCTTACAATGACAAGGGGAAGAATAGATGCCGAAATCAAAAAATGGAACGTCCTCGATCAGGAAACAGCCAGCGATCACAAATATATATACTTTGAAGTCGAAAAACATGCCAACACACAGATAATCACCGAAGGCACTAAGTACTGGAACTTTAGGAAACTAAACCCCAAGAAGTTTGAGGAAGCCGTAGCTCGCGTCATCCAACAAGGCATACCAACCACACCGGAGCAACTTGACCGATCTATAAATGAAATATGCGAAGCGTCCATGCCAAAAAAATCCAACCACAGCCACAAAAAACCTGTCTACTGGTGGTGCGAAGAGATCGCCAGTCTAAGGCAAATATGTTTAAAACTAAAAAGGATAATCACGAGAAAGAACCGCAAACACACCGCAGAAACCACCGCAGAGAAAGAAACATACAAAAAGCATAGAAAAGAACTAAATCCATCAAGCAAGCCATCAATAATGCCATAGGAACTGCTGGAAGAAACTCTGTGACGAAATTAATGAAAACTGCTGGGGAGAAGGATATAGAATCGCCACCAAAAGGCTAAAAGCCAGGCCTGGTAACTCAGCCCTGACTATGGAAATGGCTCTGGAAGCGGCACAAGGTCTATTCCCGAATAGACCTTGCCGCAACTGGGAAAGACTTGAGACTGAACCGACGGACACCCCAAATGTAGTAAACGAAGAAATCCTAGACGCAAGTTCCAAACTCAAGCCAAACAAAGCACCAGGGATAGACAGCATACCCCCAGATATCATAAAGCTAATAGCAAATAAAAATCCCGAAATCCTCCTCAAAGCTATGGAAAGCATAATAAAAAGTGGTGCAATCCCCCCCCCTATGGAAAACGGCGAAACTACTCCTGATTGAAAAACCTAAAAAATCAGCAAACGACACAAGAAAGTTTAGACCTATATGCCTAATAAATTCAAAGGCCAAACTGCTCGAATACATAATCCTAGCAAGACTTGCGGAAGACCTCCAACTAACTAACTCTCTAAGCGAACGACAATATGGTTTCAGGAAAGGAAGATCCACGGTTATGGCCATCTAAAGAGCCATCGATCCACTTAGAGCAGCCATAGGTAAAAGATCCCACAGACACAGAAAGATAGGAATACTGATCACTCTCGACATAAAAAATGCCTTCAACTCGGCATCTTGGCAAATAATAGTGAAGGAAATACAAACGAGGGGAGCAGCCCCATATCTAATAAACCTTATCCAGGACTACTTTACAGACCGAACTATTATACTAGAGGCAGAAGGCACAAAAAAAGTTTTCAATATGTCCTGCGGTGTCCCACAGGGATCCGTACTCGGGCCCACCCTGTGGAACATCATGTACGACGGAATACTAAAAATAAAGCTTCCAGAAGGTGCAACACTAGTCGGATACGCGGATGATATTGCCCTGACAGTGCTAGGCAGAGACTTGGAGCAGATAGAGACTAAACTGATGACCGCAATACCACGCATTATGTCGTGGTTACAAGACAACCAGCTTGAACTTGCCGAAGAAAAAACAGAAGCCGTAATAATAACACGGAATAAAGTCGTGCCACATACCACGTTCAATCTATGGGAAAGGATTGTCTCTCCTACGTCAACTATTAAATACCTGGGAGTATGGATAGATAATAAGCTATCTTTCGCAGCCCATATGAAATACGCAGCAGTCAGAGCAAACAACGCCATGAAAGTTCTTGCTAAACTACTGCCCAATGTGGGAGGCCCCGGCCCAAGCAAGAAAAAGCTCCTAAGCTCGGTGGCCAGATCAATCCTGCTATATGCGGCTCCAGTTTGGGGAGAAATCATGAAACACGCGAAGTACCGGAACATGCTAGAAAATATACAAAGAACCGCAGCACTCCGAATATGTAGCGCCTACCGAACAACCTCAACAGAAGCAATAATGCTCATAGCGGAAACACCACCGATCGACCTTTTAGTCAAACTGGCCATTGGCATATCAGAAGCAGGAGAAGATAGAAATGCAGCTAGAGAAAGTCTCAAAATTAACCTGACCCAGGAATGGCAAAACAGATGGGATAATGGAAGCAAGGGCAGATGGACTCATAAACTGATCCCAAATATACTGGCATGGACAAACCCAGCACATGGAGAAACAGATTACTATCTGACGCAGATGCTAACGGGACATGGCTGTTTCAGAGACTACACGTATCAGATCAACAAAACAACTGATAATGAATGTATCTATTGTGGAGAAGTGGATGATGCAGAACACACCTTCTTCTCATGTAGGCAGTGGGAGGAGCAACGCAGAACATGCACTACAAAGATTGGACCAATCACACCCCAGAACATAATTGGAAAGATGTTAACCAAACAGGAAAACTGGAACTCAGTGAAGGAAATGACTAGCAAAATTCTGAAAGTGAAAATAGAAGAGGAAAGCACCTACCAGGCTTAAACCCACACTTCACCAAGAAACACTTGATATTTGAGAGAAGAGAGACGTAGGAAGAGCGTCCGAAAGGAAAGGAGGAAAAGAACAGCCGCTCAACTCCCCCTGAAGTAATACTTCACGGTGGTTCCAGGGGGTGTTATCAAAGCGAAGAGTAGGGGAAGGGTTTTAGTGGGTGAGAGTCCCACACTCCCAGTTGGGTTAAGTTGAGTTTAAGGATTTTTGACGATTATGCTTCCCAGCAAGACAATGCGCCATCACACTTGACAGAATAAAAGACAGTTTTGGTCTGAATATAAAGGCGGCTACTCACTACATGATACTTGGCAAGTAACTTGACTTAACTGCAATTTGGTAAGTACTTGTACAAGTGAAAATAAAGTGTATGCAATATGTGCCGAATAGACGATGCCATGTGGAATTCGGAAAGTTCAACTTATTATGAACGCAAGCTTGCGATTGCATATGTTGGTGGATTAAATATTCATGGAGTGGTAATCGTATGGTTCTTATCAAACAAGAAACTTTGTTGTAAATATCAGCACTTAGGTATGTGAAACATCTTTGTCCAAATGTCTTTTTCACTTTTGGCTTTGTTATGGAATTTTGTCTAAAACGTGTATTGTAGTCATGTTTCATATTTTGGATTGAAATCTTTCTGTTGTGTAGCCGTATTGAAATAATTTGAAAAAATATCATTTTGGTGTAAAAGATATTTGTTTCAGAAAACAATAAGTCTAAAGGGTAGAGCATACCTTTTTTATAAATTATTTTAAGCATCCATTATTGCGTTGTGTTTAGATTTTTCAAGTGTGTTTTAGCTATGCAATTAAGCCATTTGTTAGGTGCCAATGTACTAATGCAGAATAAATAGTATCAAGCTAAATCAATAAATAGATTATTCTGTAGAAACTAAATAAATGTAAAAGGGATCTTAGATTTTTTTAATTAATAGTCCCACCTCAAGTGACTATCGATACAGCTTCCTAGATATTTGAAATATGTATTGTCCGTCGATTTTATTCTGATACTCGGACGGAATGTGAGCTGGTAGCTCCCTGCATTAGAACTCCAATGGTTACCTGACGTTACACCTGTTTTTGCCATATGAAACACCCCCTCGCTCCTCATATGGAAATTATCAGTTAAAAATCGACGCACAATATAGCGTGGGATTTCAATAGTTTGATAATTAGGTTGGTTGACCAATGTATCGAATTCTGGTAAGCCGTTAGATTTTGAATTTTCAAACTTTCATAAACCAACCGGTTTAAAAACAATGGTCAATTTTTCATATCATTATATTTATTTATATAACATCAAACTACAGAACTTTAATAAAGCTACAAATGATAAACTCCTTGACCAAAAATAAATGAAAAAAAAAA